ATATATATATATATATATATATATATATATATATATTTATATGTGTGTGTGTATGTATGTATATACATAAAGTCTTCCTCTAATACATCTGTGTCTCCCACAGTCACAGATACTACTCCAGACAGTAAAGTGTCGCCCACAATTGAGGCATCTCTCTACTTAAAGCGTGTTAGTCCAGCATCTCCGGTACACACTTTGACGGTGCGCCGGTGTTCTCCTCTTAACCTGCACTCACAGTGCGATGTTCGGACCCCACTGTGTTAATCACGTCAGCTAAACTCTCCCACTCTTTCTTTCTTCTTTTGTTATTAATTCCGGAGGACAAACTTAATAACACTGTTTTTCTCCTGTCTACCTCTGATAGGAGCACCTCCAATTCACATTCGGTGAAGTTTCTCTGCTTGCTTGCTTTTTCATTTGGTTTTGCCAAAGTGGAGTCATTACCATATTTATACAGGGGGGAGGCAGGGAGGGGTTTTGGCATGTGCATGTTGCGCTCAGTTTCACTGTAATTCAGATGTACAAAGAGAAAATGCGTGAATATGCGTTTCATACATCAGAACTGTTTACTGCGTACGCACATTTACAGCTTTGTCCGTACGCAATGATTAAGTATTAATTCAACACAAGTCTTCGTACATGAGGCCCCAGAGGAAAATGCACACCTTCATTGGAAATGACAAACCTACACCCTAAGCTTATTGCCATTACTTCCAAGGTGCGCACTCAGCAGCCACATTTTAATAAAACTATAGCCTTCATACCAAATCTTTTTTCATCAATATTGACAATGGTGTTCGTTCAATAAATATCGATACTGATTTTTTCGCCCAGCCCAACCATGTGCATATACCACACTGTATAAATTTCATATCTCATTCATTTTCTTTTCAGCTTAATCCCCTTATTAATCTGGGGTCGCAACAGCGGAATGAACCGCCAACTTATCCTGCACATGTTTCACTCAGCGGAGGTCTTTCCAGCCCATACACACTCACACACTACAGACAATTTTAGTCTACCCAATTCACCTGTACTGCATGTCTTTGGACTGTGGGGGAAACCAGAGCAACCGGAGGAAACCCACACGAACACGGAGAGAACATGCAAACTCCACACAGAAAGGCTTGAACCAGCGAATGTGCTACTCACTGCGCCACCCTAAATTTCATATCTAAATAATTAACTTTTTTCAACTATATGCTTGCATGTGTGTATTTATATAGGATATACGTTTTAAAATATACAAAGTACACACTTTAATCACGCCGAAACAAACTTTTATTTTGGTATCAATTAATCGCGATTAATTTTTGCTCGGTTTTGACTGGTTACACTTCTACTGTTACACGATATTGTTTTATTTCTGTATCTTTTAAGTGTAAAGCACTTGGAGACTTGGATTTTGAGCCTTCCTATACACAAATATATGTATTATTGGTGTTATTAAGTTTATATAACAGTTAATAATCCATACAAGACTTCAGAGTTTGCCAAAATTAGCCTACTTTCTCCAAGCATGTACTGTACACACTATGGGTTTCAGCACATATAACGAGTACATCATAATGTCAGCTTGTACGCGGATAATGTGAGTTTGTGCGGTGTGTTCTAGTTAGTTTTTCTCAGCATGTTATGATCTCGTGTCACGATATAAGCGGAAGAGAGCGAATCTGAAACCCATCCGACAGTTCAGGACGTGGCAGAAGCTCACCGCAGTCCGCCGCATATTCCTCCCACTCGGCCGGAGAGCTGCAGCCGTGCTTGTGGAGCTCACTGTTGAAGAAGGTCAAGGTGGAGAAATACTCGCTGGACAAAATAGCTCCGCATAAGTACAGCAGCGACAGAGCCGCCAGCACAACACCCCCGCCAGCAGGTGCCATGTTGTGAGTAATGTTATGAGCAGGTGAGGAGCGGTGTGGTCTGGGTAATGTAGTCACTTAAGCGTAGAACGCAAGAGGCGGTGGAGTGGGATAGAACTACACTTCCCGTCAGGCGCGTCATAAGCCCCGCCTCTTCTGGAGGTTCAGGAAGCAGGAGGTGTGTTTTCGTGCTGTCATACGGAGAATGGCACCGGGAGTGTTTAAATGCGTCGAGTGTAACGAAGACGCGAACGAACTGCATCGAGACTACAGCAACGGCATACTGAAAATCACCATATGTGTGAGTGTATCGTGAAGCTCACACTTTTAAGTTAAAATAATTGTTTTCTGTGTTGTTTTCTGAGGTTTGCGAGCTCACAGTGTATTTAGGCCTGTTGTAATACACACAAGGAACTACATACTGCTACTATACTTCATATTTATTCATATATATGTCAACAAAATATTGAGGTAAAGTTGGTTTTATATTCGCACATTCGTTCCTTTAACGGCCCATTTATTGTTTACCACGCTAAGTTGAATATTGAGTCTGAAATAGCATGTAAGGATAACTTCAAAATAATATTAGCACAATCTAACTGACTGTAAACAATGTTGTACTTGGATATTCATTAGCTGCTAATATGATTTCCCCATTTAGAAATTGCAAAGAATACATTTCTGAAATTATATTAAGCAGAAAGTCTAAAAGTGCGAATATAAAACCAACTTTAAAGTTACCTCTATCAACAAAATGTAATCTATTAAACATTTGCATTACATTCCACTGGATATTTCACCATCATCTGTAAGATACGGTTTCTAAGACATTAACTGTACACTGAGATGTTGCTGCAGTATTGTTTGTTGACACAGCAGCCACATTTTAATAAAACTATAGCCTTCATACCGAATCTTTTTTTCATCAATATTGACAATGTTGTTTGTTCAATAAATATCGATACTGATTTTTTCGCCCAGCCCAACCATGTGCATATTCCCCACTGTATAAATTTCATATCTCATTCATTCATTCATTTTCTTTTCAGCTTAGTCCCCTTATTAATCTGGGGTCGCCAACTTTAAAGTTTTTTAGATTTTAGAGAGTAGAAAATAAAATAAAATATTGCTCAAAGTGTATATTTTCATGCACTGTTTGAAATATGTTATGGATCAGGAGTTTGGATTTCTGAACATGTCTACACATCCCCTTAGAGCCTCTTTTAATAAAACATAATTAATAAATATATGCATTGATAAGAATATAATAAATGGCTTAAATACATATCCAAAAATTCATTCATTTCATTTTCTTTTTCGGCTTAGTCACTTTATTAATCTGGGGTCGCCACAGCGGAATGAACCGACAACTTATCCAGCATATGTTTTATGCAACGGATGCCCTTCCAGCTGCAAACCATCTCTAGGAAACATCCATACACACTCGTTCACACTCATACACTACGGACAATTTAATCTACCAAATTCACCTGTACCGCATGTCTTTGGACTGTGGGGGAAACCGGAGCACCCGGAGGAAACCCACGCGAACGCAGGGAGAACATGCAAACTCCACACAGAAATGCCAACTGACCCAACCAGCGACCTTCTTGCTGTGAGGCGACAGCACTACCCACTGCGCCACTGCATCGCCCATATCCAAACATTACTGATTTAAAAGAATAAGCAATAAGTGCAAACAAAATTGGATAGTAATAATATGGATATATGCATTGTTATATTTCTAAAATAATTAATATGGAATGTTGAGCAAATACTTAAATAATAATCAAATAAATAAAAAATATTGTGTTTATTTAAATAAAGTATATATATATATATATATATATATATATATATATATATATATATATATATATATATAACACACACACACACA